CTATGAATTGTCATGATAGTGATGTTGTGAAGACCTTCTTGAAGGTGAAGGTGACGTTGAAGAATACTCCGATGAAGAACACGAGTATTTCCGGCGTCTTCTTTCACGACTTTGTGATCTTGAACGACTTCGCGAAGCGTGTCCCGACCGTTCTGAATATGATGAACTTCTTGAATATTCTTTCTTTTGTCGAATACTCTTTCGACTCTTACTTCGACTCCGACTCTTTTCATTCATACATTTCTCGACCTTTTCGACTTTGTCATCGCGTTCGGAGTGTTCCGAATCTTCACTCAACCCTTTCCGCGATGAACTCAATCGACGCTGTTCCGATTTTTCTTTTTCAACTTCTTCTTGTAACTTCCGCTCCCCTTCTAACCACTTGTTCTTCAGTATCTCAGCTTGTCGTTCATTCTCTAATTCTTCTTGTTTCTTTTTTTGTAACGCTACTATGGTCGAAACTTCCGCTTCAGCTTGTCTTCGGGCTTCCTCCCATAAATGGGGGTAGAGGTCTTTATCTGAAAGGACTGTTGGTGTGTATTTGACAGGAACTTCCCCACGTAGACGATCCATTGCACTGGGACGACTTGGAAGAGAAACAGGTTCTTTGCATTGATAAGTCCAATGGTCGTTGGAACCACAGTTTTTACACCTGCGGCGTTCCATCGTTCTGACTCCAATGGTTTTGAAGATAAATCATAAAATCAATTTGATTTTTTTATTAAGTTTTGTCTAATTCATTTATCTATTGTTCTATTAATCACTTTTGTTAAAGTTCGTTTTTTTATTATCAATGTTTAGTTTATTTAATATTTTATAAACCATATATTTTATTTAATTATGTATTGTTGTATTATACTTTATAATACCAAAATATAAAAATTGAATTAACTTACATTCCCCAAAAACGATTTCTTTTTAATTATTTGTCAACAAATGATTGTGGCATTTTTCGTAATAAACATTAATTGCGTAACTATTTTTAGTTTTGTTCATACCATAATTTTTTTATTAAACAATATAATACAATAAATTAAGTAAATACTATTGAAAAGAACAAAAAAAAACACAAGACTCAAATGTTAAAAAAAAAGAAATGAGGTAAAACGGCGACTTAAATGCTTCAACCGCCACGTCAGAGGAAAGACGTATAGTTAAGAAATAGTAAAAAGAAGACAAATAGAAGTGCGATTGATTGCATTTCTTCTTTGAACTATAAAATCAAAGCACTACAATAATGTCGAACGCACAAAATCTTCAAAACCCATTTTTAAATGTAGACGATTCAAATGAAAGTGGATTTGTCGTTGGAGACAACGCAGGCTTTGCGCAACCCGCTTCCGTCGATTTCTCGGCACAACAAAATCAAAACATCTTACCACCACCATCGACTAACGACGAAGAGAAGCAACCCGACGACACTAAAGTTCCCGCTGAAGGCGAAGAACAACAAGAATATCATTGGTACCAATTTTATAAACCGGAGTTCTATTCTCGTTGGTTCAATGTCGAGACTTCCGATGTGCTCAAGCGAATGTTTTGGGGGCTTATTCCATTTTTTGGCAACTTCTTCAAACAGACTGAAACTAACCCAGACTTGTATGGGACTATTTGGATCCCAATGACTGTCATTTTCGTCACATTTTTCAGTGGCTCACTTGGGTCAATGATTCGAAACAAAGTCGACTACCAGAAGTTAACGATCATCACAGGAACTATATTGGTCTACATCATATTCATTCCAATCATACTGTGGGCTGTCTGTCGATTTGCGTATAAAGTCAAGAATTCTCTTGTCTCGTATTATTGTTTGTTTGGGTATGCCTACATCGTCTATGTCGTGGTCATTCCATTATGCGCTATTCCATTTTGGTATGTCCAAATACCACTGGTGTGTGTCGGGTGTGCACTGATGTCACTTACAGTCTTCAAAAACTTGTTCCAACTCTTGTGGGAAAATACTAAGAAATTGTATGTCATTATCACACTCGCAGTTTTACTCGTCATCAATCTTGTTGTTGCTGCTATCCTTATTGTTTGTTTTTATTATTACCTGATTGTTTGTGGCATGGAATCATCACTCACTTGCAGTACTCAGTCTGGCCAAATTAGTATCAATTTTCTAAAGAAATTGATTTTAACTTTTATTTCCATAAAATGTTATTCAAATGTTTTTTAAAGTAATTTTAATACAAAAAACAATCAAAACTATTATAATAAACTATAAATATATTAGTTTTTATTGTTAAAGAAATAAATAAAAGAAATGGAAAGTGGTTGTTATTCAGTTATTAGTTGTTTAGTAATAATTTTATAATTTCAATATAATAAAATGTAATAATATTAAAATACTATTAATTTACTTGATTAATAAAAACCTCTAATATATAGTTTTTTATAATTTTATTTATTAAAAATACAAACAAAACAAAATCAAGAAAAAAAGAAAATCCAAATACAAATTTGGGAAGAAAACAACACCCAAAACACCAATTTGTACGTTTCTGGTTTCAAATAAAAAAAAGATGGGAAATCGACACCAATTATAACCAATAAAACAAAGCAACTACTTTAAAGTAATTCGTTTAAATACAAGGTTGAATGACGAGCCTTTGTTCTTTGGGCAATTTTTGATGTCTGAGCAACACACAATGATGTTCATTTGTTTGATATTATAGAAGTCGGGGATTTTGTCGATTAAAACATTAATTGAAGGGACCTCGATAATAATAAAATCAGACATGGGATAAAATTGTTCTTGTTTTATCACATCTATCGAAGAGAGTGTAAGCGTCACGGAACTTTTCCCGAAGTCATCAAGCCATTCCTTGGCACGATTTATTGCATTTTTACCACAAAGATATAACTTGTGTGACTCGGAACGCCGTTCAAACTTCTTCAACCAAGTTGTAAACTCTCGGACCTTTTTAGTGAAGACCTCAGCTGCTGCGACTTGGTCGTCGTTTTTTGAATCGTTAGAAGTTGGTTGTATAGAAAAGTATGAGTTGTTGATGTAATTACTTGCGTCGTCGTCGGAAGAATCTTCTCGTGTATTTTCAAAGTCATAGTAGTCATATTGCGTATAGTATTCCGATGAGTAATTATAATTCATTGCCATCCTATGACTATTTTTTCTCAGTTTGTTTTGTCGTCCCTTTTGATTTTAATTTTACTATTTCAAATCATTCATGAAACCTATTGTTTACTATTCACTTATACCAAGCCCGTTTACTTGTTTTGACCTTCCGGAGACTTTTGCCACAAAAATCAATTTTCTATTTTTGGTATTAAAAAAGAACTAGTACTTATTTATTACAATTGTTATAGCAAATGATTAGTAATTAAAATTAAAATGTCTAGTTAAAAAAAACATAAAAAATGGTCTATAATTAAAACAAGATAAAAAAATTGTTGGCATTTTCAGCTGTTTTTTACATTCTTTTCCTATAAATAAAGTCCTTCCTCACAAGACAACTTTTCGTTTAATTGGTCTAAGGTATTGTTTTACTAGACTTCTAATAAAAAATACTATACAAAAATACCAGTTCGATGAACTTCAAAGTACCACGCTTGAAGCTCGAAAAACAAAAATGAAAATGTTATATGTATTTGGAACTTCAAAAAAGAGCGAATATTGTGGGGAAACTGGAAAAGAAGTCAAACGATGGACGATCGCCAGATGTCAGCACAGGTACAAGTGGAGTTGTCATCCAAATCAGTGACTGCTGCTCTTCGGACCAAAATGACAATAGAGGCTCAAGCCACATTACGTGAACAAGAACGCAAAGAACGTGAACAACGCTTGGCCACTCTCGACAATTATCTTTTAAAAAGTACGTTATCGGAAAAAGAAAAGATCTCTCTTCGGCAAGAACTTGCAGAGAAAGAGTCTGAGTACAACAGATGTAAACGCGCAAAATTGAAAAAGTCGGATTTTGAAACAATCAAAGTGATTGGGCGGGGTGGGTTTGGTGAGGTTCGTTTAGTCGTGAAGAAAAACACCAACATGGTCTTTGCCATGAAACTCATGCGAAAAAAAGATATGATTGAAAGAGGGCAAACGGGTCATGTGAAAGCAGAACGAGATATTTTGGCTCAAACACACTTTACCAATGATTGGGTAGTTAAGTTGTTCTATTCATTCCAAGACGATGAAAGTTTGTAGTGTTAGTTAATAGATATTTTAATATTAAATATTAATAGTATTAATATTAATAGTATATATAGTAACATCTAGCTTTATACCTTCTTATGGAATATCTTGGTGGTGGAGACATGATGACCCTTCTTATTAGAGAAAACATATTTTCGCATGACATGGCACGGTTCTATACTGCGGAGTTACTTATGGCTATCGACTCGATTCACAAATTGAATTATATCCACAGAGATATTAAACCGGATAACATTCTCTTTGATAACGCTGGTCATATTAAACTCACTGATTTTGGATTGTGTACTGGGTTCCATAAAGACCATGAAAGTACTTACTTTGATATGGTTGAGCGTGCTTCGTTTGTTTCTTATGACTTTCTTTGATATCTTAGTGAAACAACACTCATATCTAGTAAACTCAATTTGGCAGATTTAAAGACTCAACGCTTCGACAAAGACTTGGCACATGACTACAAAAACAAAAAAAGGAACTTGGCGTATTCTGTTGTTGGTACACCAGACTATACCGCACCTGAAGTCTTTTTACAAAAGGGGTATTATACAGAATGCGACTATTGGAGTGTCGGCTGTATTTTATTCGAAATGCTTGCAGGGTATCCACCCTTTGTGTCAGACGACTCCGTCCAGACGTGTCTTAAAATCATTAATTGTACAGAGACTTTGCAATTCCCAGATGACGTTGAAATATCACCAGATGCTCAAGACTTAATTAAGAAGCTCGTTTGTCCAAAGGAAGACCGTCTGAGTAACTTGGAATTGATCAAGAAACATCCATTTTTCAAAGGATTTGATTGGGACAACATCTTCGAACAGGCCCCACCTTATATGCCCAAATTGAAAAGTCCATTCGACACAAGTAATTTCGATGAGTTTGAAATGCACGAGGAAGAAGCGGAAGAGGTCGAGCATTCCGGGAAAGAAAAGCCTAAGGATCTTGCTTTCGTCGGATACACTTATAAAGGGTTCTTGAACGTAGTGAACTCTCCTTCAAAGAAAAGACATGCTTCAGGCGTCACGCTCTCACAAATCTTTTCAACTCATATTGCTAATTGACACTCACGAACTGTTGTATTTTGTCTAGCGTCGTTATTAAACTATAACATATTTTTATAATTTAATATAGTTGTTATTAATACTTAATAATAACTATATAAATAGTTTTTAAATAGTTCATTCATTTTAAATGCCTAATTTAAAATAATAATAATAATAATAATTACTATTAATCCACCCAACTCATTGAAATTGTAACATCATCTTCTGTTACTATGTATCGCACCTTTAATTTGTTGTCGCTTGACTTGTCTTTAATCGTCCACTCGTATTCATTTGGTGGTCGTAATAAGTTATCTCCAAGAGCTAAAACCAAATCTATTCCTTTAGAAAAGCCGATGTTTTGCTGATAACAAGCGGTATCCTTTTGTTTTAAGAGAATGTCCACAATCGAACAAACACGTTCGTCAAACCCGGGAACACGTAGCTCCAAGTCGTGGAAGATAAAAAAGCGAGTTTCAAATTTTTTGAAGCGATTGAGAATATCAGTGATGATTTTACATGAAGGAGATTTCGGGTCTTTATAAAAAGACGACATAGTGTTTGGTGACAAAGACTTCTTTTGTAATTCACAAATATCATTCACAGACTTTTCTACCTTTTTGTGAAAAAATGTATGACAGACTTGTGTTGGGTTGAACAAATCGTTTGGTGATGTTAGTAACAACTGAGTTGTCTGTGTTATTGTATACACATAGTCGAGGTAGTAGTGACTCACAGAAACATTCTCTAATATTTGGATACACTTCTCTAACTCCGTGTCGGGGTTATAATAACACTTTTCAATTGGATGTCTTTCATCCTTTTTTGTTGTTTGGTAGATTGTGTCCATTACCTTCATTTCAAGGACATTGCGTTGGTGAAGTGGTGTTGGGTGTGTTGTATTATATTCAATGATTCTATACATGTACCACTCCATAAATGATTCAAAAGACGTCGTTTTCCCTTCTTGAGTAACAAGATAGACATTCACATCTTTTGAAATCACCAATTCATAATCAAGTTTATCAAATCCAGTGTCAACACCAATCTCTGGAAGTACACAAGACTCAAAGGTGTTGTTTTTAACAGACAAAAGAAAGTTGATAAGACATAGTATTTGATGTATGAAAGGACTGTTTTTAGAGGGCCAATTGCACTCCCAAATAGTGGTGTTAACACTAACAAATTGCTTAACCAATTGTATAAAAGTCTTGTAAAACGTTCTGTGCTTGAGAAGAGTACTTTTACGATATAAAACGTATTGACAATACAATGAAAATAATGAATTTGGTGCAACATTTCCGAATTCAACCTTTTCGATGGTACAATCCTTCAATAGAAAATCAATAAGTTTGACTTTAGTGTTTGTTCTCGACTTGATACACATTCTCTCAATTTTAAGTTTCTCGGCTTCTTGTAGCATACTTTGGACTTCGAGAAGTCTCGAGTGATAAAAAGTAGCATTTTGATTCGTTGATCCAACCACTTTGAGAATCCAAACTGCGTTTTGTGTAAATAAATAGTCTCGCATGTTATCCACAGAAGCCTCCAAACAAATGTTTTCAAAATAATTCAGTCCTTTAGCGTATGTCATTTTAGTGACCTCCTTGATTGGTGCTTTAATAAAGTACTTATGTGTTGTTGAATACACACATTCTTCTGGAAACTCAAACAGTGTTTTTGCGAAGTCATAACAGTCACTGTATTTTGCATTCAAATGAGATGTGTCTGCAGCATACTTCTTGTTGTTTAAACCAATTCCAATAATTTTAGTGTTACTTTGAGCAATTACTGTATCTTTTGGATATGCCTGTTTACACGCAGAAAGGAATAAACTCAATACATCAGTAGACACCGTTTGTTTCACGTCGACGAAATAATAGTCCGGAACAAGAAAGTATTGGTGTCGTTCTTTAATAAACGAAAATGTCATCTCACAACTCAATTGTTTATCTTGATAAGTAATTTCTTTCACCTTTTTTTCAAAGTTGTTTCTGAGTTTCTCGTATGGCGTTCGTATTGAATTGTCGATGAAGTCTCTCCCAACACCTTCCATATGTTTTCGAGTTTTTATAATAAAGTTTATTCTTGAAACCCCGTCATCTAATGACGGGGTTTGGAATGTGTTTAACTTAAAATAAAGAACTTGGTTTTTGATAATCATTTAAAACATTTAAACAAGCATCTTCACAACTAGTACTCTGACGGGATTAAAAGTGTAATTTGATGTGAGCACGTGTTTTGCGGATTTATCTTTGTTGTAGCTGAAAGGTTCGCATATACACTTATCCTCGGACTTTCCAAGTTGTAAATCAACACCATTACCAAAGGAGATGAAAAGTTCATTGTCGAAGCGATACACACAATACGCCTCGTTCACTTTCTTCATCACGAAGTTCGTATTTGATATTTGTGTAATTGTGGTCAAGCTGAAAGGAAAAGAGAAACGCCTTTTTGTCTTCGACATCAACATTCAACTCTCTGACGCGACGGTGAATATACCCACCAAAAACGCACCCATCACTGGACTCTATAACAACGTACTGCCTTGAGTGGTTATACAATGACTCTAGAAATGAGTCATCCTTCAATCCAGATATGTCCGAGTCAAATATGACACTCATCCGTTGTTTCTCACTCCACGTCATTAAACTTTTGACTGACGCTTCAACCATTTTTTCTTCAGGAGAAAAGTCTAACTCTGGAGGTATTAGTTTCTTTTCGGAGAATGGGTGTAATATATATGGTATCAGTGTTGGTAAGAAGGATCCAGAACGTGTGAGTGAAAGTGTCGGAATGTTGTCTTCCAATATCGAAAGGAGTGTATTCAATGCACTTCGTGTTGTCTTGTCTTGGATTGAACTCACTGTGGATGCAAATTGCTGGAGTTTTTCTTCATTCAGTTTCAACATTGTTTGTTTGTTGATCCTTTCCACAAAAAAGAAAAAGAAAAAAGTGTTTTTGTGGGGAGTTTTAATAATTTTTGTTTTTTTCACAATTCAATAATGTTGCTCGTTTATTCCTGTTGATTTTTACAATGTTTTAATTATAATAATATCATACATTATAATTTGAAACAACTTTTAAGCAACAGTAATCATTTTTGTGAATCTTCTTAAGAGTGTCAACGTAGAGCGTATCCACACGGAAATAGTGAATCCCTGTGGATTGGAATATTTTGTGTGGATAGCCTTTTATTTTTTTGTTGAAAAAACCCAAATATCCGTTTTAAACCATATGTTATGATTTTTATAAGTAATATTTGTTATTTAAAATCATTTTCCTTGTCAGTACTGAGTGAATTCGAATGTGGATCCCCCGCTTGGGGATTCACGCCAAAGGATAACTTGGAAAGTGGTGTATGGGTGCACAAACAGAATGTTTAAGTGTGTCTTCATAAGCCTTTTTCAATGCTTTGTTTCACCTTTAATCCACTGACTCGGGGTAAATATACGACATTTCTTTAATTCAGGTATCGATCTTTCTAGTTTACTATTAATTATATTTGTAATTTGAGTAGTATATAAATTATGTAGATTTTATGCACACATTATTTTTATCTATATTTTCTAATAATTTAAAATAACGAGGGGACGAGTAATCTGAATTTTCACAAAATTCGGGATTAAGAGTTCCAATTATTTTTTCATTTTTTTATTTCCCTAAAATGAACACTGATAAAGAACAATACAGAATTAAAAATTTCTATAATTTTACTAATACTTATTCTGAAGAAGATATTTTAAACTGTTTCACAATTAAAGCTGGAACTATTAAGGCTGCTTCTACTAAAATAAATAATAAAGAATGTAGAAAAGAATTAATTGCTATGGACATTGAAACAAGAGATTTATATTTTCATTACAAAGCAAAATTGGAAGCTCAATTAAAAAGAATGGAAGATAACAAGAAAAGTACTATTAAATTAGAACAACCATTTTTATCAAAAGTTTTCAATAAATTAAACAAAACCGATAAACAAACTTTTGGTTTAATTAATAAAAAAGCAACATTAATCAAAGATTTAGATGAAGAAAAAATTCAAAAAGAACTTGACAAAAAGAATTTAGAATGGAGTTTAAATAATATTTCTTTTGATAATATTGAAGATAATGATGATTTAATGCGAGAAGATATGTATAAAAAATTTGAAGAAGAATTAAGAATTAACGATGAAAGGAAGAATTATTTTAAAGAATTGAAAGAAAAAGAACAATATGAAAACAATATGGAAGAATATAAAGATATGATTGAAGAAATTGAAGATCATACGGAAATTAACACTAAAGTAACTTATGATAGAGTTAATAAAATAATTAAAGCAGATTTTAGATGTGGTTTTAGAGAAAAATTAAAAAGAATTCAATTAGTGAGAGAGTATTTTAACGATTTAATTAAATTAGTTCCTTCTACTACTGAAATAATTTATAAATATTTTCTTAGTCAAGATGGATGGAAATCTTATATGCTAAATACTAAAGACGCCATTGATGAATTTCTTAATTCTGTTTCTGAAGAATCCATGTGTTTTATCAATAAACAAGAAGTAAATGATTCTATAGATTCTACTTTTTATGTTCAACAAACTATTCCTGAACCATTATTCATATTAGAATTGCAAATATCTGCATATCATTATGAAGAAGATGATGTGAAAGAATATAAAACTACTGGCGGAAGCTTTTTCCCTTATCGTTATAAACCAGAATTTGAAATATTTGGTCAATATCTTGCTAAAGCACAAATATTCAGTTCATTGATTGATGAAAATGGAAAGGTTAGATCAGAATTTGATTTAAATTGTTTCACTTATGCTTTAAAACAAGCTAATGTCGATGATGAAACTTTAGAATTAGTATTAATTCATTGTAGAGGTCGTTATCAGAAAGCTAAAATGTTAGATGAATTATGTAAATCGGTTCATATTAGAATTAGAATTGATAGAGAGAATACTGATAAATCAAACAAACATAAGAATAGAAAAATAGATTATTATGGTTGTGAACTTAAAGATGCTAAATATAATTTAGAAATGTTTTTATATAGAGATTCTTTAATGAAAGGCGATCATTATATTTTGAATATTGATATTCCTATTACTCCATTCTATCTTAAAAACAGAGAAGAAATGAATAAATATGCTTTAGAAAATAATTTAAGTATTGATAATATGTTTGATAAACAAAGAAAGGTAAGAAATTCATATTTAACTAATTCATGTGCTAAAACTACTATTAAGCTATCTGATCTAATTCTTTATATTAGAGATCATAATGGATTTGAACCTTATTCTCTTTCTGATGTTTTTCATTTAAAATCGGATTTATCTGAATATGTATTACAATCATTAAATACACTTGAATATCTTCCTTTTGAAACAAGAAAAATTGAAATCAAAGAAAATAAACGAAAAGAAGTAGATCATTCTTATTGGTATGCTGATTTTGAAGCTTCAACACAAGGATATCATAATCCATATTGTGTTTGTTATTCTAAAAGAGGCGAAGATAAGATTTATAATAAATATGGAAAAGATTGTGCTTATGATTTCTTATGTGATTTACCTCATAATGCTGTTTGTTATTTTCATAATCTTAAATATGATGGTTCATTCCTTGCTAAATATGGTGTTAATAGATGTATTAAAAAATCAGGTAAAATCATGCAAATGACTCTTAAATTTCAAGGTAAACAATTAACTTTTAAAGATTCTTATGCTTTAATTTCAACTAGTTTAGCCTCTTTTCCAAAGATGTTTGGCTTATCTAATATTCAAAAAGAGATCTATCCTTATAATTATTACGGACCAGGGGGCCTCAGACGTGAAACGTCGTACAATCAAGAACGTGTTGAAACTAATATTGGAAATATATTAGAAGCTGATTTATACGAAATACAACAATGGAATGAAGATCAATTTAAATTATTTGTTGAGAATATTGATTCTATTGATAATTGTAGAACGGATGAATATCATTTCAATATGAAAGCTTATTGTGTATTCTATTGTAATCAAGATGTTAGAATCTTAAAACAAGGTCATTCCAAATTTAGAGATATGTGTTTAGAATATTTAAATATTGATGTCGATAAAGTAATTTCAGCAGCTTCTTTAGCTAATACTTACTTTAAGCATAACGTATATTCAAAAATAAATAATTTAAAAGAATATGGAGGAAAAGTTAGAGAATTTATTCAAGGAGCTATTTATGGAGGTAGATGTATGACTAGAGATAATAAAAAGTGGTATGTAAATGATGAATTATATGATTATGATGCTTGTTCATTATATCCTTCAGCTATTAATAGATTAAAATTAGCAACCGGTTCTCCAATTGTTATTCCTGAAAATATGTTAATTAATGATTATTTACTTAATCACCTTATGGATGAACAACAATTAGAACCTACTGAAAGTAAATTTATTTCTGCTTTTATTGTTGATATTGATATTACTAAAGTAAATAAGAAATTACATTTCCCATTAATTGTTAAAAAAGATAAAACTGGTAATCATAATACTAATGAACCTTGTGTTATGAGAGTTGATAATATATTATTAGAAGATCTTATTAAATTCCAACAGATTGAATATAAAATAATTAGAGGTTATTATTGGACTGGTAATAAGTCTGATTTATTATCAAATGAGATGGCTAAATTATATAATTTAAGAAGAGATTTTAAGAAACAAGGTAATCCAGTTCAAGAAGTATTTAAATTAATTATGAATTCATCATATGGTAAAACTATTCAAAAACCCATTAAATCTGATCTTGTATATAAACAAATATCTGTTAAAAATAAGAAAGGAGATATTCAGTATGATGCTGATAGATATTTAAGAAAGAATTCGTTATTAGTTAAATCATTTTATGATGTTGCTGAAAATATTAGATGTTTTGAATGTAATAAAAGTTTTGATGATTTCTTTGTACCAAATCTTATTGGTGTTCAAACTCTTACTATGTCAAAACGAATTATGAATGAAGTTATGTGTTTAGCAGAAGATCTCAATATTCCAATTTATTATCAAGATACTGATTCTATGCATATTTTAAAATCAAGAATTAACGAATTAGAAGATGAATATTATAAGAAATATAATAGAGTACTTAGAGGTTCTGATATGGGTCAATTCCATCCAGATTTTGATGAATTATCTGGTGATGTTACTAGTATTGAATCTTACTTCTTAGGTAAGAAAGCTTATTGTGATAAATTAACTAATGAAAATAATGAAATAGAATATCATCTTAGATTAAAAGGTATACCTAATAATTTATTAAATTGTCAATATGAAGATCCGTTAGAATTATATAAGAAACTATATGATGGAGAATCGTTTAATTTTAATCTTTTACAACTTAGACCATCATTTGAATTTACTAAAGATTTTAAAATTAAATCAAGATCTCAATTCTGTAGAAATATTAAATTTAATACTGATTTGGGTTCATTTTAAAAAAAATATAAATGTCAAAGGAACAAGAATTATCTAAATTTTATAATACTTATAAAAATAAAATAGAATATGCATATAATAATAGAGATAAATTATATGGGATTAATCCTAATACTAACTCAAAACACAATTTAAAAAATTTTTATTCTGGTATTTATAATTATTTTAATATTAGTAATAATAGAACACAAAAATTATTAGATGATATATATGATATATACATTAATAATAAACGAAGTATAAATGCAAGTATATCTAAAATGCTAGAAGCTACTGGTTCACATGAATTTAAAAAAGATGCAAATACACCTAAACCAGAAGTTAAAGAAATTAAACAAACACCAGAAATTCAATTAAATGCTGAATTAAGACCTCAACCGTCAGCCTTCGGCGTGAGTTTCTCGTCAATTCAACCACATGGTACAACCACTACCATAGCTACTTATCCACCAACTAATTATTTTAAGAAAGATAGAACAATAAAACAATTATTTAATGTAGACATGAATCAACATGTTCCATCATTAGCTAAAAATATATATACTTATTTCAATAACAAAGATATAATTTATGCTAATAATTTTAAACCATCTCCACCTAAATATTCATTTTATAATAAAAATTTTGCTTATAAATTTGTTGCAATACCAAATACTTATATGTTTGATATATTGTATTTCTCTGATAAAGATAAGAGAGTAACTCAACAAAAATATGATAAACCATCTGTAAAAATAAATTTTGATCACAGAGTTCATAAAAATAATCCATTACAATCATACCTAATAGGTATAAATGTGAATACAAGATATGGGTATGTTATTTCTATTAAAGATAAAACTGCATCATCAATTATAAATGGTTTTGAAGAATTATTTAAACAAGGATTAAAAATGACAAATTTAATATTTGATGGAGAACGAGGTATATCATCAAATGATTTTGCTGATTATATTAATTCTAAGAACATTAAATTATTTGTTACAGCAACAAAAATTCATACTTCTACAGCTCCTATTGATAGATTATGTAGAACTATTAGAGATTTATATGTCAAATATTATATTTTAAATGATGATGAATATAAAAATATTATTAATTCTATATCATTTCAAAACATGAAACGAAAAGAATTACTTCAATACATGACTAAAATACGTAAATTATTTAATGAAGGAGATCCAAAACGTATAACACCAGTTCCAACAACAGAAGAAGTATATAAATTAATGCAATATTATAATGATAGTTGTCATGATGGTTTAGTAAAAATATTTCAAGAATGTGGTAAAATATATAATTTTTATTATATTGATCCTAGTTACATAACACCTAAAATGGTACAAAATGATAAAATGTTAGAGAGAATAATTATATCATATTGTCAACATTATAATCAAAAAATAAGAAATAAATTAAAAAATTCAAAATATAATTTTATCAATGAAGAAGATGTTATTTTATTTGATGTTGAAGATGGAAATTTAAGAAAAAATAATAATTATATTGATTCTAAAAATTGGAAAATTTCCTTTCCATATGGAAATAATTATGAAATTTATAATGAAGATAATGATAATTACGAAACTAAAATTGTATCTAGATATTTATTAGAAAAGACTTCTAGAATACATGATTTATAAATTATTTGACTTCAAATTTTTAATTTTTTTCATAATAAATGAGTAAAGAATTTTATGACAAAGGATATGGCGTAACAAAATTAGCACCAAAAATTGATGGTTTTGGAATTAAAAAGGGATATGATAATCAAGATGTTATCGATTTTTCAACTATGGAACCAGCTGGAGTAAGTTCTAAATATCTAAATTTAGGTGGAACAGATCTTGCTACTGATAAATATCAATTAAAATACAATAAAGAACATTTAGATCCAAAAGCTTTTCGTGTTTATTGTTCCAATAATAATTTAATTCCTTATAAGTATGATTTGGATGGAGATCAAATAGATGATTATATTGGAGTAGACAGTACAAATCATATTAAAGCTTTTAATGAATTTTATGTTTCAAAACCAGGTAATTCACAAAGACCATACCAAAAGAAATATTATGATCAATATAATAAATATCAAAGAAAAGAAGTTCCTTATTTAAATTATCTAGGATTATTACCAGTAAATGAAAATATTGATGGATATGCAAGAGTTGGCCAAGGTAGTGGATTTTCAAAATCACTTAATACTGTAGATTATAAAATTAGAGAATATTTATCTAAAATTTTAAATCCTGAATATATTTCATTAGGTAGTCAAGTAATTGGAAATGTAATTAATTCAATACTTTTTGGAGAAAATATATTATCACCAGTATTTAAAGTAAAATTAAATTTCATAAAAAGTGATAATTGGTATAAAAAAATTACTGATCAATTAATGTCTTCATTATTACCTGGAATTATTAATAGTGAAGATAATACAGAAATATTTAAACAAATAATGAAAGGTATTTCATCATCTTTTGCTGGAGGTTATGAAGAATATAAACAATTGATAGATAATTTAAAATCTAATATTCCAAATATCA